GATGTATGAGCTTGTCATACTTAACTTATGAGCTCGTCATAGTTAACCTTTGATGGAGATATGGGCTCGCTACACTTAATAAGAAAACTACGAGCTAGGCTCGCCTTCAAAGATGCAAGAAACCCGGGGCATCTAGAAACAGGTAGAAACAACCAATATATACTGGATCTTCCTTTATTCAAGGAACAAGGTCTCCAACCAGGGATAAGCGTCTGGCATGGCGAGGGATAGACATCTCGCGAATAGATCTTGAACTATCAGAGTCTTATAAACTGGCCTCAGGGATGAGGTCTTACATCTAAGCTCAACGATAGTGAGAGGTGAGGAATAAGCAACTCGCAAAGCCAGGAATAAGCATCTGGTGAGGCGGGGAATAAACACCCGCGAATAGATCTCGACCTATCGAAGTCTTATAAACTGGCCTCGGAAAGGATGAGGTCTTACAGCTAAGCTCAACGATAGTGAGATACGAGAAATAAGTATTTCGTAAAGCCAGGAATAAGCATCTGGCGATTTGCCTTTTCCTTTTTCAAGGAACAAAGACTTCGGAAACTACTGCCTCTTCCTTTATTCAATGAACGAAGACCGCCTCTTCCTTTATTCAAGGAATGAGGACTTCGAGAGATAAAGCTAGTCTAGGGCCTGCGAAAGATTAAAGGTTACCTCGAATAATAGAGAATCATATAAAATGATCAATATAGCCTTCGAATAATGAAAAATCCGAACTTAAGCATTTTGTCGAGCATTTGTAGGATACCTGAATAACCATACTCTCCCGTGAAATCTTCATAGTATGGAGGACCATAAAAGGCGACAAGAAAATGTCTACTTGGTGCCAAATTAAATTTGCAACTCAATAGGAATAAACTAATGTTACTCGGATGCCTGATAATTATAAGGTAAAAAAATAATTCCGCATCCCCAAACTCCTTGAATTGGAATTAAATTTGTAAAATGTAGGTATCCATATAGAGAACACCAACATTCACCAAATCCCAAACAGTGTCTCCAAATTAATAAGAATTGAAACTGCCGGTAGATTCCAATGACCACTTTAGTTGCTTTCCTCCATTTTTTAATTTAGAACACTTCCTAGGTAGTTTACCTTTGGAGACCAAAAAGCTAGAATATGTCTATCCCTTTTCCAAAAAGTGTTAGGCAGGCTTGGTTTCTTATCCATTTGTATTATAGCATTACAAATAAGCCTACTTTCAAACAAAATTCACGAGGCCTAGTATCATATTGCAAGAGCCCAAGAAAAAATGGCACTAGGAAATTGGAATATAAAATGGGCTCAAATGCGTTGGATAAAATTGTTGTCCAAAGGCCTAATGAAAATAAATCCTAGGCCCAATTATGCACTACCCAAATGTAAGCTCCAAACATACCTTTAATTAGGTATAGGTTCTAATGGGATCGAGCAAACAAATGGACTAACCCATGAAGTAGCCTAAATGAGTTGCAAAAGTCAATAAAAGGACAATTCTGAAAAGCATACCAACTAGCAAATCAATTTGTAAAAAATGCACGCCCTGCACATTTTGGTTTAAATTGCACGCCACCACCATGTCTTTTATCCGTCCAAAATTTGTATTTACATACTGGACAAAGCTTGGCCATGTACTGCCGGTGACCGTGATACTGCGTGGTGCTAATTGCCGTCGGAGATTGATAAAATAGTGATTATTGTGTCATGGTTCAGCTCAACAACCATGGTTGGAGCTTGAAGGCGAATTTTGGCCCCAGACAATTTCTCAAACACCTGACGAACATCCCCATTATTTTCGCTTCTGTGGTTTGCATTTAAACAAAAAAGACAGGATCCTTTGGTTTTATTTGCAGAGGATAAATAATGGCCCCATATATTTTCTCAAGATGCTTCTTGCTCCATTTTCGTGAATCTTGCCCCGTGAATAATGGGTTCCTTTCTTCTCTTTGAATTTGCTGATAGAATATGTAGCAATTTTTTGTTGAAATAATCTCCATTTTCTTGAATTTGCTTTCCTTGTTGAATTCGTGGGGGACTATGCACTGTTGGATGCTTCAACGGATTTAATGGTGGTTGCCGGAGATAAAGTTTGCCACGGTTAATCGAGGAAAATATTTAGCAAACAAGCACCGACCACAAAAAATGGTGTGTTTTCCTCAAGAAATAGGCTGGTGAATATAAGCTTTCACTTTCCTACTTTCCTCCCTTTTCGGTGGTGGATTGATTCATTTAATCTACCCATCAGGTAGCCCCTTTTGGAGTTGTTTTTGAATGGCACCAGAAATTTTGGCTTCCAATCACCAGTTTTGGTATCTCCAACCTCTAGATTAACCAGTCTACTTTCACCAATTTGCTTCATGTTGCCACTTTCATGATCGGTCTTAACTCTTTGTTGAAACTTCTCTTTTCTCCATATCTTCACCAGTGACAAACATTTTTCATCTAGATGCAGCCATCGAAAAATTCCTTTTCCAAGGAAATTTTCATATCTTCTTCAGTGGCCAATTTTTCTTCCTATTTTTGTTATTGTCTTCGCCCTTTTCCAGTAGAAACTGCCCAAAAAATCCTTCAACTTCTAGTGGCTTTTAGTTTTCATTCACAGCTTTTACCGCTATGATGTACGTGGTTATGGTATCAAAGATTTCCATAGAAGGCGCCAATCTGTTGACCCCAAAAAATGATCCAACAGAATCCCTACCACGTCTCCTCGACGTGGATCCCACCTGCACGCTGAACACCCCGTTAGGAGGCAAAAGGCCGCCGATCGAGAAAAAGGTCCGACGACCGTTTGCACTCCGACGGTCAAGTCAACTACCGGACGAGGGAAAAGTAAGTGCAAGAGATGGAAGAGAGAATTTGAATAGGGCTAGAAATCATACCTTAATTGAAATCGGTCATATATATATATATGAGAGAAACAAATGGGCCGATTGGATAATGGGCCTTATAAGAAAGGCTAAGTCCAAGCCCAATATGATAATTTATAGTGTAACAATAGTCACTATGTCCAAGGTCTTGATTATTATTAGATTCAGAATTGAGATGAAGAAAGAGATTTCATTATTGATCGAAATCTTACAAAATAAATGTTTGTAGCTGTATAAATACTAACAAAGTTGGCGCCAAAGGATAACAGCTCTTACTAGATAGAAAACCAACTGACAAATTAAATAACAACATGGACAAGTAACTAACTGATACAACTGATGCTTCTAATACTCTCCCACAAGATGAAGTGTAAATATTCTTTACAGACATCTTGGACAACAAAGGAAGGAGAGTTGTTGTAGGAAGAGGCTTGGTGAAAACATCAGCAAGTTGAAGTTGTGATCGAATTGGCAGAAGTTTAACCGTTCCAGGTACAATTTTGTCTCGTATGAAGTAACAATCAATTTCGATATGCTTCGTTCGTTCACGAAAAATTGGATTGGTAGCAATCTGGATGGTAGCATGATTATCGCAAGAAAAACTGTCTTGAAACTGCCATTGTGTGAAAATCCTTCAGTAACTGGTTGATCCAAACAATTTCACTTATGGTAGCAGCCTTGTATGCTGCGTCAGCTGAAGAACGAGATATCGTGGATTGTCGTTTAGCTTTCCAAGATATCAAGGAGTCACCAAGAAAATTGCAGAATCCAGTTGTAGATTTCTTCGTGTCAAGACAAGAACCCCAGTCTGCATTCGGAAAAGCTCGAACTTTGATAGGCAAACTGGAATCAGAGAAAGCAGAGAAGAATATGCCTTGACCAGGACAACCTTTCAAGTATCTAAGGAGATGATGTACAGCTTTGAGATAAAAATTGACTCAATTGTAATGTCAGGACATGAAAGAGTCAAATAAATCAGCTTCCCAATCAAACCTCTATAATAAGATACATCTGGTAACAGATCTCCATCTTCAATGCTCAGAGAGGCTTTAGGATCCATAGGAGTATTTGTGCATTTGCTATCCAAATAACATGAGTCTTCAAGTAATTGTAAAGTATAATGTCTTTGTGAAATGACAATCCCTGAATTTGAACGAGCAATTTCAATGCCCAAAAAGTATTTCAAATAACCCAAATATTTAAGTTTGAACTGAGAGTGTAGAACTGACTTTAATGAGTAAATAACTTGAATGTTTGGCCCAGTGATAACGATGTCATCAACATTCAAAAGCAAGATCACAAAATCATTACCAGACCCTTTAGTAAACAGTGAATAATCAGCCTTTGATTGAGTGAAGCCACTTTGAATAAGCACGTGTGTGAATTTTAAATTTCATTGTCTTGATGCCTGCTTGAGTCCGTATATTTCTCTCACCGTTTAGCAATTTTGTGGACCTCATAGCCAAGTGGAAGATCCATATAAACTTCCTCAAACAAGTCACTATTCACAAAGGCATTATTAACATCAAGTTGGATCAAATGCCACTTATGGTAAGCTGCAAGAGCTAGCAACATCTTGATAGTAACAGTTTTGGTAATTGGGGAAAAACTTATAAAAATAGTCTAGTCCTTCTTGTTGTGTATAGCCTTTAGCTACAAGGAGGGCTTTATGCCTATTAATTGAACCATCTGACTTGTACTTAATTTTGAAAATCCACCTGCAACCAACAGAGTGTTTGCCAGTAGGTAAAGGTTCCACAGACCAAGTGTTGTTGATCTCCATAGCTTTCAGTTCCTCTTTCATAGCCTCACACAACTGAGAATGTCTGATAGCCTGATGGAAGCATTGTGGCTCAACCTGAGATGAGATATTCAATAAAATCCCTGTGATGTTGAGATAAATTTTTATAGGATATGAAGTACCTAATGTGATAAGGTATTTGATCAGTAAAGTTGGGGATTTTGTGACAACAAGTTGCAATGATAGTCTCTAAGATATTTAGGGGGTCTAGTAGTTCTGTGAGACTGTCTTGTGTTAGTGGTAGAATTAGGCTCAAACAATGGTATTGTATCTGTATGTTGGATATCATCTTGATCAATTATGTTGTGAACTGATGGAGAATCAATAGAATGTGGTACAGGAGATGAGTGCTCATTTTGAGGTGAGATTTGAGTGTCATCAGAAGGAGGAATGTTGGAATAATTCTCCATTGAGGGATCAGGCAAAGGTTGATCACAGTTTAAATAATGAACAGGTAGTACTAAGTCAGGGAATGGGTCCAAGAGCTGATCATTTGCCATGACAGTATGAAAAGGGAAAATATTTTCATGGAATACAATATCTCTTAATAAGAAGATTTGTTTTTTTTCCACATCATAGAGTTTATATCCTTTTACTCCTGAACGATATCATACTTTGCTGGAATTTGTTCCTATGAGTAGTCAATGTAGATGCAAAGGCTAAGCAACCAAACACTCTGAGAAAGGAGTAGTTAGCAGGTTTGCCATATAGTACCTCAAAAGGTATCACGTGTTTCAATATATGAGATAGAGATCTATTAATCAAGAATGTAGCCGCCAATACACAATTAGACCAGAACTTAATAGGAACACGTGATTGGAAATATAGGGATTTGGCTACATTTAAAAGATGTCGGTGTTTCCTTTCAACGACAGAGTTTGGCCGTGGTCTTTCCACACAACTAAATTGATGCATCACCCATTTTTTAGCAAAAAAATTCAATAAATGCTAATTCATTAGCATTATCTGATTTGAACTTTTTGATTCTAGCATTGAATTGAGTGTTAATCATATTGAAAAGTCTGGGAATTACAGTTGCAACATCAGTCTTGTATTTCAATAGATACAACCAAGTGAATCTTGAACAATCGTCCACCAAAGTTAAAAAAAATATATGTGCCCTGAGTGTGAGGTAACTTGATATGGCCCCAAAATGTCACAGTGTATGATGTCAAACGGATTATCTGAACGGTTGTTATTCGAATCAAATGACAGCCGTCTTTATTTTACAAGAGGGCAAATATAACAAGGCATGTGTTTATTGAATTTGGAAACATCATACATCAATTGATCTTTCAAGCAATCTAGTCTCTTAAAGGAAAGATGGCTAAGTCTGTTGTACCAAATAAGTACTGAAACATTATTAACAAAAGCATTAGAAATTGAATTCAGAACTTTGACATCAAGGACATATAGGTCATGTATTTGATCACCCAAGCCAGTCATCTAACTGGTTCGACATTTTGAATGATGAAGGAACCATGAAAGAAAGACAATGTGAGTTGTGATCTAAGAGTCAAGGCACTAATTGACAATAGATTGAACTTGAATTGTGCCACAAACAATACATCATGCAGTACCAGTTTTGAGCTTAATCTGACATCCCCGCATAGTCTAATCGGACATGATTAGGCAAGATGACATTAGAATCATCTATAATTCTCATATTCATAAATGCAGCAGTAATAAAGCACACATGCTTGGTGGCACCTGAGTCCACTATCTAAATACGTTTGGAAGAAAAAAATGGATTAACAACTATAGAAGAACATATACCTGCCGCATGGGATACAATGGTATTGTCCCGATGGTCAGTGGTTGCTGTGTTTGAAGTGGACACCAGATGAGTAGTTAACATTGACATCAACTGTTGATATTGAGTCGAGTTCAGGTTTGGAAAAAAGTTCCCAATTCCAGGTAGTTGATCTTCATTATGTGTGATGAAAGAAGTAGATACTTGGTTAACAAAATTATGAACAGAAGAGTTTTGAAATTCTCTCTAGAACTTGGTTTATATCCCGGAGGACATCCATGAATTTGGTAGCATTTGTCAATGGAATGTCCATGAATATTGCAGTGTGTATAATAAGGTCTATCTTTCTTCTTAATATTCCCAGTACTTCCAAATCTCGGATTATTGTTGTAACTTCCAGATCCAAACGTGGCTTTGATATTATCAGATTTAAATGCAAATGCAGCTACTCCAATAAGGTCATTTCCATTATTCACATGTGTACTTATGATTCTTTTCTTTTCTTCTTGAGAGATCAAAGAAAACACTTTATTAATTGGAGGTAGGGGATCCATGAGCAACAATTGTCCTCTGATTTGTGAAAATGAGTCGTGAAGTCCCATGAGAAACGACATTATGTATTCCATTTGATAGTGATTGTTTAATTCTTTTACTCCACCACACATGCACGTACCACAACTACATGTAGGACAATAATTACTTAACTCCTCCCATATAGTTTTAAGCTTAGTGAAGTATATGCTGACACTGATTTGATCCTGGACTAAATTCATCAGATCTATTCTTGGTTGAAATACATGTGGCCCGTTCTTTTGTTGCAACCTATCTTTGAGATCAGTCCAAATTTCAAATGCTGAAGTTGCATAGATCACACATGCATAAATCTCCTTTGAAATGGAGTTAAGGATCTAAGAAATCACCACATTATTGTTGCCGATCCACGAATTGATCAAAGTAGTGTTCAAGCCTTCTGATTTTGTTATAGTTCCATCGATGAATCCAAGTTTATTTTTCACGGACAATGCAATTGTCATTACTCAGCTCCAAGAGGCGTAATTTTCTCTTTTAAGCAGTCCTGATACTAGTACCAATCTGGGACTGTCAGAATGGTGAAGAAAGTAAGGGCTTGTAAGGTTCATTAATGACAAAATTTCTTGTGTGCAAATCCGTTTCATATCAGAATTACAGCTTAAAATACTTGAATGGAAGAAATGAAGAAGAAGTGCAGAGAGAAGAGTTATGCTCTGATACCATATTAAATTCAGAATTGAGATGAAGAAAGAGATTTCATTATTGATCAAAATCTTACAAATGAATGTACAAAGCTATATAAATACTACACAAAGTTGGCGCTAAAGTATAACAGCTCTAACTAGCTGGACAACCAACTAACAAATTAAATAACAACTTGGACAACTAAGTAACTGATTCATATGCTTCTAATAATTATTTATATGAGATGTTAAATTTTAAAGATAATACGATTTCAATGCTCATTTAAACCTTTTAGGAGGTTTGCCATGAAGAAGCATTTTCGCTGAAGTGAAAAATGCTTTTTTGGTGCTTGCTCAGGCAAAGTGATACAAGGCCAAGTTGAATGTTTTTCTTATGGAGTAAAAAGCAGAACTGGGAGAATATAATTTTAGTTGGGAAATTGATTATTTAAGACCCTGTTTGATTGCAAATTTTTCCATGAAAAATATCACATCCTAGAAAAATGAATTTCACTTTAA